GACTCACAGCTGGAGGCGGGTTGTTGGCGGAGTACTCGGAGACAGTAAGCGGGACAACGCTTGCTCCTTTCAGCATCTTCTGAAGACGCTCAAGTACCTCCTCATCGGTCAGCTCAAGGGCCGGGACCATGCGGGAAGGATCCTCAGCCCCAGAATACTCGAAGCCAAGGTTCTCTGGCTCCTTCAGAGGCTGAACACGGCGACGAAGAAAGCTCGAGACAATACCGAAGCCGGTCAAGCCCTGCCGCTTTAGAGTGCGAATCCGCTCAAGGAATGGCTGGATCACCTGGAGCTCGATTGGTGTCAGGGAGTTCTTTTCCCACCGGTCATTAATCGAGGGACCAGACCCAGAATGTATGAAAAGAGAAGGAATCAAATTGGCGGCATAAAACCAATCAGCATGCCAATCCCTCACAGAATCAACCAGGTCATAGTCAAAGAACTTGCTTTTAAGACCCTGGCGAAACTGGATCCCACAGCCGCCAAGAACATTGGTTTCTTCACGGCGGGGATGAGGCTTCAAACAAAAGAAGTGGCGGAAAAGAGAAAGAGAAGGAGGAATTCCAAGGAAAGCTTCACAAAGATGAATGAAAACAAAAAGATGGAGGACGGCATTAGGGGTTAGATGGTTCAGATTAACCCCAAAATAACCAAGAAATTGATGAAGAAAGGCGGAAGCAGGAAGGCAAAGACCGACGCGGATAAAGGAAATAAAAAGGATAATCTCACCAGGACCTGGAGTAGGAACCCGGTGCTCGCCCGAAACTCTCCATTCAACAATGTCTTTGCTTTGGATCAAGCTGTCACTGACGAGCTCGCGGAGCTAGTCTTCGGTTGTTGTTAGAGCCGGCCAAACCTTCTGAGCAGCCCTCATGGCCACGAACTCTTGGTTCTCGATCAAAGAAAGGGATGACTCCTCGTCCACGAAGGCTGCCTGGGACTTGCTCGTGGTTTTCTTCTTACCCATGAACTAGCGGAAGCAAAAAGGCACTGGGGAAGACGAAGCTAGGACGACAGCGCTCGGGTGACGACAACAATGGCGGCGGCGGATTTCTGAAAGCTAGGGTTTCAAGGCAAGAGCTGGGCAGTAAAGAAAAGGAAGATAAAAGGTCTTTAAATAGATTTTTAGTGATAAAAACGGCCCACCAGGCCCGTTAAAACATGGTGTGGGAACACAACGGCCCATTTACTGACACAGCTAAAATGACGGACGGCACAAATCCACACAACGGTACAGTTTAACGAGTAGATTTTAGACTTATCCATCCAGCACCACGGCAGGGTTATCAGATCACTACAAGAACAACCCGTCAACCATGAAGAAACAAAGGGCTACCTCGCAAGGAACAAAAGAACCCGGTTATTAAAGAAAGAACTTGAGAGTCTCATGAACAACCAGGATTACAGCAGAAAAATGAATGACAACTCTGAAGACAAGATTCTTTCCATTACAAGTGGCTTCAAAAATAGAAGATTACACATTTTACAAAACCCAATGAACTCGGCACTACGACAAGCAAGGTAGCAAAAAGGAGCCCGGACACAACTAGGCTCTGGAACGACTACGTGCTCCAAATTGCTACTCGGTAGAACAAACCGCGCTCGGCTACACTATTTTCTTCAAAGGACGGACGTAGTGCATCTAAGGCGGAAATCAGCAGCACGGTGGGACAACATAGACCAGGGGAAGTCGGTAGGCATCTGTCTACCCAAGCCTGACGTGATGCAGGATCAGGTGTTGATCTGCACTGGACAGTCTCAAGACAGACGGCGAGAATCAACCCAGAACTGCCGGATGAAGGAACGAAGCCCACATCACAAGACTTCCTTCAACTATCACCACGTACTTCCAAGTACAATGCCGCTGCGGGATTAGTCTACCTCTAATCCCTATCACAAGACTTCCTCCAGCTACGACAAGACACTCAGGAACTACAAGATACGCCCGGGGGCTGCTCTACCTCACAAACTACCATATTCATGACTACGAAGTTTTCAACAAAATGTTCAATGGATGAAAGCAAGCACCCCGGGAGGGTATTTATAGATCGAAGGAGCGACGCACATGGACTAGAAGTACCAACGAAACAAGCCTTTCAAAAGACACAGTGAAAAGATAGGACTCAATAATAGAAGACTCAGAAGGAACAGTACTCAAAGACGAGCATATTCGGAAGAATATGCCAACACTGTACAACCCGTGAACAGGCAACATTTACACTCAACCACTACCATACAACTACACCTGACAAACATCAGACTACCAGAGAATACGCCAAGAACAATGCGTCCGTGTTCTTTTAGAATAAAAGAACCCAGATAAATGCTCAGAGGCTACAACAGGAGAAGATTTCAGTTCCTCGAACAAATCAGACTCAAGACCCTCCAACTCTTTGTTCCAAACAGCAAGAGGCTCGGGGGCTATACTCAGTGAGTGCACTTTTTCTTCAAAAAAGCGCACATCACTCGAAAGACTTCTTCAAGTCAGCAATTTTAAAACAACATAAGATTCAAGACCCTCCAGCTCCTTGTTCCAAATAGCAAGAGGCTCGGGGGCTACACTCAGTGAGTGCACTTTTTTCTTCGAAAAAACGCACGTCACCAAGAAGACTTCTTCAAGACAAAACTACTTCAAGGAATCATGACAAAAAGAAGCCGGACCGAGCTATATCCGAGTTCTTTTTGATAAAGAACCCGGGCACATGCTCGGGAACATTTCAACGAAGGATCAGAGCGATTTCAAGACAAGATCCTCCAGCTCCTTGTTCCAAATAGCAAGAGGCTCGGGGGCTACACCCAAAGGGGAATACTTTTTTCTTCAAAAAGGTACACTCCACGCGAAGATCTTACAGAGCGCTACACGGTTTCGCTCAAAAAAGCACTCGGACGACGCTTATTCCTGCTCGGCAAAGCCTGAAAGAATAAGACGAGGCTTCCAGAGCTCAACCATGAAGTGCTCGGGGGCTTGTCGGTGCGGGACCCACAGGATACCCGCAAGGAGGAGAGAAGATCTAGTCTAATTAGAATTCTCCCCATGTAATCTTAGTAGTAATATTATCCTGTAATCCTACTAAGAACTCTCATTGTAAACCGACTAGGATTCTGACCTCCTGACTATATAAAGGAGGGCAGGGTTCCTAGAGGAAGAGACTTTTAACAATACAACACAACACAATCAATACAACGCAAGGGCTAACGCTGACTGGACGTAGGGTTATTACTCGACCACAGTCGAGGGCCTGAACCAGGATAAATCGACTGTCTCTTGCGTTCATCGTCGAGTTCCGCATATGCTGAAGCCCGAACAATACTGCTCCGGGGACCCCCGTGGCAGGCTATCGGTGGTCAAACATCGACAGCTGACGCGCCAGGTAGGGGCTTTCGGTGAATTTGCATCCGAGAGCTCGATAGACCTCGACAGCATACATGAACAGACTTAAACAACTGCATATGTCTGCAAATAGATACATGCCTGGTGGACATCTTCTCAATGCGTACTCTAATGGTCAAATTTGCAGCTGTCATGAAAGCATAGATTTTCAAGTCATCATCGAATGATGCTGAGACCTGTTCTGCCAAAGCTAACGCTTCCTTGTCCCACCATGTGCCAGCAAGGGATATTCCGCCACCAGCACCTCCATCTCCAGCCTCCAAAACATAATTAAATGTTTATATAATCAAACTGTATTTATCAACCAAGTAAAGTAAAACTTACATAAAGATCCTGTTCATCATCACTCTCAAAATCATCTTCAAAGTCATAGTCGTCCTCAAACTCTTCGTCATCATCCATTATATCTGCACGATTTGGTGAACAGAGTAACTTTATTTGGTATAACAAAGTACTATTTGGCTTATATATGAAACTAATAATACTAACCGAGCAGGAGACATCAAAAGTCATGAGCAGACAAGTATGCTGGTTGCTGAAGCACTGTATGTTTTAGAGCACACAAGTTCAGACAGATGCATTGTAAATGGGAACCATTACATAACCCAAGCCCATAAGCCATTGTTGCATGTTTGCTATAGAAGGAAATACCAATTTACTAACAAGACTATACTGTTGCACCTCCAACTGTTTGGAAATGGGCTACGCAAATATGCAATGACATCTTCCCTCAATTCTGCGGTGTTTGTGGGTACCAACAATGTGCATACAACTGCATATTCTTCTGAAACAAAGGGAAGAGTCTACATCATACTGCACGTCTTCCCATGGATGCTTTTATAATGACCGATAGGGGGGGGAGGGGCGAGGGATGCTTCACAGTGTGAACTGTCAGATAAGGGGAGCCAAGAAATGGAGCAAAGTGCAGGGTCCAGAATCCCCAGTCGTCCCACAGAAAACAACCGGAAACTCCCAACCATCGTAATAACAAATAAAACAAACATCACCAAGTTCACAAAATCCATTACCTCCTTCTTCAGCGTCGAAGTCCTCCTCCTCTTCCACCTCCTCGTCCTCCTCCAACTCGCCGGTGAAATCATCAGACACCTCCTCATCTGGCGGATCTTCGCTATACCCTTTCCTCTTCTTCTTGGCAAACGGCACCACCGCTGGGCATTCCGACAAACGATTGGTGGGCATGGACATCCAGAAAAGGCAGCACTCACGGCAGCGGTAGTGGAGGGCAACAAGCCGAGCAGAAGACGAAACCTTGATGGCCTGACAGGGAGGCGCCCATGAACGACGCCTCCGACGACCAAATCCATCGGTTAACGGATCACTTCAGAGCCAAGATTCAAGAACCATCGAGCGTGGTCGCGCGCCAAGCGTCCGGACGAGATCAGCTTATCCTCTGTCAATTGGTAACGGAGTACGCCAACAGGTGTGTAAAACGCCCTTTCCCAAAATTCGCCATCACTATCGCGGCCTCGCTTCCTCCCAGTTCTCAATGGAGAACGAACGAATCTTGTACACCTCGAAGAACACAAGCTAGCATCGCCAACGCCGCGTCCGCTCCAACGCGGCGACCCACGTGCCCACGGCCCACCAAATGCCGCGCGGCCACCACCACCCGCTCCCACGCCGCGGTCGCCTCCTCCAGCTCGCCGCGGCGGCGTCCGGGCTCCTGCTCATCGCGCTGCTCGTCCTCCTCCCGGCCGCGCCGCCCTGGGAGCACACCACCGCGCCCGCCTCGCTCCTCCGCGCGGCCGTCGCGGCGCACCCGTCGCCGGACTCCTACGCGCGGCCCTGCGCCGACCACCTCTCCCTCTCGCTGCACCGCCTCCGCGCCGCGCTATCCTCCCTGGAGTCCGGCGACGTCCCCGCCGCGCTCCACCTCGCCTCCGCCTCGCTCCAGTGCCAGTACGACTGCTCCCACCTCCTCTCGCTCCCGGCCTTCCGCTCCCACCCCCTCACGTCCCGCTTCCTCGATTCCCTTGCCCCACAAACCCTAAATGCTGCCCTGAAACCTCCCTCTTCCGCCCCTGCCGCTGCATTCCCTGCGAGGATCCGCCCTGACGCCACAGTGTGCAAACCGAATTCCGGAGTGGAGCCGTGTGGCTACTCGACCGTGCAAGCCGCGGTGGATGCAGCGCCGAACTACACTGCTGGCGCTGCTGGGCACTTTGTCATAGCGGTTGCCGCAGGTACATACAAGGAAAATGTTGTGATTCCGTATGAGAAGACCAACATTTTGCTGATGGGGGAGGGTATGGGAGCTACTGTTATCACTGCATCACGGAGCGTGGGGATTGATGGGCTGGGAACTCATGAAACTGCGACGGTGGCTGTGATCGGTGATGGGTTCCGTGCGAGAGATATAACATTTGAGAACAGTGCTGGTGCTGGAGCTCATCAGGCTGTGGCATTCCTTTCAGATAGCGATCGGTCAGTGCTGGAGAATGTAGAGTTCCGTGGGCATCAGGATACCCTGTATGCTCACACAATGCGGCAGTTCTACCGCAGGTGCCATATTATAGGGACAGTGGATTTTATATTTGGGAATGCCGCAGCAGTGTTTGAGGAATGCGTGATTAAGACTGTACCACGGGCCGAGGGAGCTCAGAAGCACGCACGAAATGTGGTGGCGGCTAGTGGGAGGATCGATCCGGGGCAGACGACAGGGTTTGTGTTTGTGAATTGCACTGTGGATGGGAACAAAGAGTTTGTGGAATTGTTTCGGACAAAGCCACAGTCATACAGGCTGTATTTGGGGCGGCCATGGAAGGAGTATGCCAGGACATTGTATGTCAGCTGTTATTTGGGGACAGTTGTCAGGCCGGAGGGATGGCTTCCATGGCAAGGTGATTTTGCTCTCAGGACACTCTATTATGGAGAATTTGACAGTCGAGGCCCTGGTGCAAACCACACAGCAAGGGTTGAGTGGAGCAGCCAGACACCAGAGCAGCATGTCAAACACTTTTCAACGGAGAACTTCATTCAGGGCCATCAATGGATTGCATACTAACTACAGTGTAAATTGTGTTCTTAGATCAGTGACTTATTGGCACCTTAACAACATGATGTGAAAATTTTCTGGAATGGTAAATGCCTTCATCCATTATTCCAAGGATCTCGAGAAACCTGTGCTTCCTGTTAGAAAATCCAAACTGATGTGGTTTGTTTTTCTTTTTACTACATCTGTACCTTTTTAAATTACATGTATTAGTTATAGTTTTGTGTTTTGTAATTAAATTGTTCCTTTGATAGAGTAAAGACTGAAAATTGTTTTCTCTATAGAATATGATAGAACATCTTTTACTTTATTTATTATATATGTTCGTGCATTGTTTCTGGCTTATTGTTTAGGCTGGCCTATTGTTTTTTATTGTTATGATTTCTAACTTCCAATGGACACTTACTCATCCACCTAGGATGAGATTCAGGAATTTGTATCTTTCTGGATTAGATTGCAGGGGTTTCACCTACAACCGGAGACCGAGAACACCATCCTTTGGGAGTCGACTGCTGATGGGAAATATTCTATGCGCTCAGCCTATTGGGCACAATTCCTTGGGGGGCGGTCAGGCGTTCCAACACCAAACTCATCTGGCAAGCTGGTGTGGAAAACTGCAAGCTGTTCTTCTGGATCCTAGTCCGGAACAAGATCCTAGCAGCTGACAATCTTGCGATTGGAGGATGGCCTCACCATACTTTATGCCCCCTATGAAGTGGACCAACAGAAACCGGCCATCACCTCTGTCTCCTGTGTGCCCTTTCGCCCAAATGGTTTGGACACAGGTCTCTACCTTGGAACAGCTAGCGATTCCACAAAACACCATCCCGACTAACTTTGATAGCATTATGGATTGGTGGGAAGCTGCAGCAAAATCAGTTCATAAGGATGAAGGACCTTAGGCAGGGTTTCAACACCATGGTCATCTACATTATGTAGAAACTGTGAGGGCAATCGACGAATGTTTTAATACAAGAGCCCTGGCGCTTTATGGGTGGCAGAGAAAACAAAAGAGTGCTTATTACAGTACAGACGGGCTTTCCAAAATCACTTTTGGCTATGGGGAGGAGCATCCTAGGTGGCTCGTTTCAGAAATCGAGCTGTGTCCCGCCTTGTTTGGCGAAGTTTATTGCCACATTCTTGTATATAAACTCTTTTCTGCTTCATTGAAAGGCAGCGGTCGTGCCATTACGATTAAAAATTTGCGGAAAAAGAAAGGTCAATGTTGCATCTTCTGTATTAGCTGAATGGATACTAGCAGTAAGCGATTTATTCAGAACTTCAGTTGGTAACAGTATACTTGGTATTTATAGTATATCCTCACATCTTCGCAGTCAATGGAATAAACAACTTAAGTTATCTGATGGATTTTCCTATAACAGTGCACTTGACAGTGATATGTTCTACAACTTTGAACGATTTGGTCATATCACAAAACTGTAGTTGCTAACAATTTGTGATGCAGTGGGTGTAGCGTTTAGCTAACCATTTTATCTTGAACTTAGAAGATTTGAGAAGGAAATGCTATGTTGCATGTTGTTCACAAATCACAAGGCTACAAAACAATGTGTTCTCACCTATGACAATCCGACCTGTAACATAAATTGATTACTAATGCTTTAGAGAGTTTAGAATTGATATTGTCTGCCTGAGCAGCAGTACCATGTAACATAGCTACAACATGTTACTACTAAAAGGTGCCTTGTTTTTAGATGTTCTGTTTTTATCTTTCTCTTGTGGCACACTTCCTCTTCGTCAGAAGACAATGTTCTCCTAAGATCTTGGATGCTCATTCCCCATTGCCTATCAGAGAAGTTTGTTTTCTTTGCCTGGACAATTTCTCATTTTGGTAGAGCTTTCTGCCTTTCATTCAGAATGCCAAACTTCTGAAAATACGGTGTCATCATGTCATGCATTTCCCACCATCATGCACGCGCTTCAACAATTGCAAACTCTTGCAAGGTGGAGCAAAATGCAGGTGTTCCGTGTCCTCATGCAAACTAAACATTCCAGTTGCTGACGGAACCTTGAGTACCTGACTAAATTCTGATGGAAAGAGGCATCCAAATTCCGCCCTGCACCCAAAATTCTCCACATACTAAACCTACTACTAATAACTAACACCTGGGCCACAGTTATGCACTAGCCGACGAGACAATTTTAATTTTTTTCCTTTTCCCATTTTTTCCCTCTCAGCGATTCGGCCACTATTTAGTCACTGTAACTGACACGACATTTTTTATTTTTTAAATTTTATCTTTCCTTTTCCTATTTTTCCTTTGCTTTTCTATTTCTGTTTCCCCTCCGCGCGCGTCTTCCTAGTACGGATAACACCGGATTTTTTATATTTTTAATTCTTTTTAATTTAATATTTTAATAATAACTATATATAAAAAAATGCAGATCTAACATTTTTGATCGTGCCAATCCCGCTAACGTGACTAAATAACGTTGTCGCGCCACATGCGTTGGCACGGTAAGGTATGCCACGTTGGACAGCGTTTTCGACGTGGAAAACCTTATCACGTCACTTCCGTTGGTGTGACAGTCTTGTCACGCCACCTGGAGTGGAGTGAGAAAACTCAACTTTAGAAAATTTATAACTCTTCGATACGACGTCGAATGAAGATAAGTTTTATATGAAAATTGTAGAGCCCGATGAGATCTATCATTCTAATTTTGAGTTTTTTCATTGAGAAAGTGAAGATGCTAAAAAAATAATATAAAATTTCAGCAGCATAATAATCGCGTACTAGTGCTTGTCGTATTAGAAAAATAATATATTTTTTGTATGGTGTCAAATGAAGATACCTTTTATATAAAGTTGTAGCTCTCAATGAGATTTACATCTTTATAAATTTTAGTTTTTATATTTGAAGTTGTTAAGATGCTCGAGAAAATAATATAAAGTTTCAACAGCATATTAGTCATGCACCAGGGCATGTCACCTCCTAAAAATTATATTCTTCTTGAAAGGTGTCAAATGAAGATACTTTTTATATCAAAGTTGTAATCATCAATGAGATCTCTAATTTTTAGTTTTGAAGTTCTTCATTTGAGATTGTTAGAATGCCGAAGAAAAAACAATCCTTTTTTAGACGTGGTTATTATTAAAATATTAAATAAAAATGATTCAAAAAATAAAAAAATCCGATAACACCTACCTCACCCAGTGGAACAATAAATTTACACGTCGTCGACTATGGGCCTCTTTGGCAGGGCTCCTGCAGGGGCTTCAGCTCCGGCTCCTGCAGGAGCTGTGTCAAACGTCTGTTTTGGAGAGGGCTCCGCATGGGGAGCCGGTCAAGAGCCGGAGCCATTTTTTGCCTGCGCAGGAGAAGCCTCAAAAACGAGCTTCGCGCGGCTCCTTGCTGTGGGTTCACGTCGTCTAGTACGAAGGAGCCGTTTTGCCAAACGTTTTCCAGAACGGCTTTAGCTCCTCCAGAGGAGCTACTCCTTCAGAGGAGACAAAGCCGGAGCCATTTTTAGAGAAGTCAGAGCCCTACCAAAGCCCTATATACAGTTCACAAAAGAATCAGAGGGCCATGGACCATCCCTGATACCGTGGCCCCACCTGGATCAGCACCTCGGACGCCTTCACCACGCTATCGATGAGCCTGGCCGCACCGACACGGCGCAGCGCCGGTCGGCCAGCTTCTGGCCCTTGGGGCCGCTACCGCCGAGGACGACGCCGCGGAAGGCGCAGAAGACGGCCCGGGAGACCATCCTGAAGACCACGTCGGCGGGCTGGAGGCTCTTGAGGAGCATCCGGGCCGTCGTCTGCCTCCTGCCCCTGCATCTTCTCTTCCGACGGCGAGCCAACCGACGCCGACGCGCTCATCATCGCCTCCACTATCTCTTCCGCGCCGGCGTCAGGGGAGCCGCCGTCCAGCGTCTTCATGAGAGCCTTGAAGAGCTCTGCGGTGGCGTTTTCCAGTTCCAGTGCAGTGGCCTTTGTGCTTTCGCCCATCAGAACTTGACGCAGGATGAGCATGCTGGAAAAATAAAACAACACAAGTTGGGGTTAATATCGTCAAAATTAATCTTTTTGACAGACTAGATTGAAGGATGAAGGATAGAAAATATAGCTAGCTACCTTGTAGCAATCACGATGACTTGTTGGAACTGGCTCTGTACGGCCCTCACCCTCAGCAAATTGATCTGGAAGCGTTAGATTGATCTCTAATCTTAAATTGGACCCAACGGCTCAGTTGGGTCTTTGATCCGTGCCCTGATCGGGGACGCCCAACCCACTATGGCTGGAGGACCCCTATCACACTGCGCTATATAAAGAGGTGGGGGTCGGCGGCTCTGAGTACAATATTTACCGTGAGCCGAGCTCTCCACCGAAACCTAAACCCTAATCCCGATCAGAGAGGGGCGCAGCTAGTGACGGGAAGCCACCAGTTGCGCCGTCCCGCTCCACCGACGTCGACGACTTTATTGACCTCTTCCCCGAACGTCGTTGCCCGTGCGTAGACTTCACCGATGAATGAGATGGCGGCTTCTGGACCATCTCCCTCTGCGGTGTTAGGTTCGACACGTTCTTCTTCTATTCCTCTCTATCTCTCTACTCTCGATATCGCATTCACAGTAAAGAGAATCCGCTAGACCTAACCCTATATGATCTTTTCGATCTCAACAATGGTACCAGAGTCAGGTCTTCTATGGTTTTTAGATCTAGATCGGGTGAACGAAAAACACAGTGAAATCGAATCCCTAACCCTAGTTTTGATCCGAAATTTCTAACCCTAACCGGGTAAAAGAAAATGAAAAGAGACCGGGAGGTGGCGGGCGTCACTCAACTGCCAGTCACCACCGCCACCGCGCGGGGAAACATGCCGCACCACCGTCTTCACCGGCGCGCGGTAAGAAAAGAACAGAGCCGCCGCTTGTCTGCTCGTCACCGCGACGCGCGCGCGTGGGCTCAGGGCGCCGACATGGGGCCGCTTGACGGCGACGCGCTCTCCCTTCGGGGAGCGCGCGCGCCGACGAGAGGGCCCGTGGCGGCG